CAAAGAAAACTATCTGGGGTGTGTCATATATCTATCTATATATCTATATCTATCTATCTATCTATCTATCTATCTATCTATCTATCTATCTATCTATCTATCTATCTATCTATCTATCTATATATATATATATATATAAATTAGGGCTGGGACTTGATTAAAAATTTTAATCTAATTAATTACAGGCTTTGTAATTAATTAATCTAAATTAATCACATTTTAATCATTCAGGAAAATGTGCTCTCAAAGTAAAACTTTCAATTAAAATTATGAGAGAGAATCAAACATTAGACATGCTTTACAGTATTTAGAGTTTCTTTTTTACATTAATGGTATATTTTTTTTTACAGTAAGATGCCCAAATTTTTATTTGAGACACGCCGAATGGCGTTGAATTCACAGATAAAAAAGATGTGGGTTCAACTTTCATTTTGGAACAATTTTTCAAGCAAGGGAATGGAATGGTCTGAGCATGCAGGCTGACCCATCTTAAACCTTTGTCGGCTGTGCTGAAGAGAAAGGTACAGAACCAAATTATTTAATTAATTAACTGCGCGTTCTCCTGGCCACACACACACACACACACACACACACACACACACACACACACACACACACACACACACACACACACACACACACACACACAAGGGACTGTCTCAGCTGTTATTTTCGTTAAGGAGTGTGCATGTACAGCATGCGCCTCGTGCACGAGCCTACTATTGAAGCTGCCGTTACGCTTTTGGCCTGAGGGGGCAATCGCAAGCATAAAAATTCAAAACTCCATAAAGTCTCTTTAAAACGAAGAACATCTAGGAGCTTCACCCTTTGAAAGCTCATAACTCAGAGTTAACACCATAAAGTTAACTCCTCTCAAAACGAAGGGGTTAAAACCAAAACGAGGCCTGGAGGACAGCAGAACCCCTGCACTGCTGCCTCATCAAAAAGGTTAACATTAAACCAATTACCAACAAAAAAAAAAACACCTGGTTAAAACTTATTAAAGGTTTCACCAAACAGAAGGTGTTTTTAAATTCCAGAAGTTGATAAAGTCTAAAGCAATCTACTGACTTAAAACACCTGGTAAAAACTTATGTTAAAGGCTTTACCGAACAGAAGGTGTTTAAAACCGGAGTCAATTAAATTGGAGCAAACCAAGTTAACCTTAACAAACAAAGACCCATTGGGATCAGTCAGAGTTAAAACTATTTAAGTTAAAACTCTTGAACTCGAAGGGGTTGAAAACAAAATGAGGCCTGGAGGACAGTAGAACCCCTGCACTGCTGCCTCCCAGACTGCTGAAGGCACAGCCTTTTTATCCCAGGTGTTGGTAGGATTCAGCTCAGCTGTGCTCCTCAGCAGCCTGGAAGAGAGGGGAAGGAGGGGCGGTGTCAGGCTGATCACCGGGGTTGGGTGATCCTGGCTCCTCAATCTCACAGACCAGGCTGGCAGCCGTAACATAATGTTATTATTAAGCAGTGCATTGCTAAGCAGACCCTCCCCCAGGCATTTTGTCCTAACCTTAAGGAAACTTAACAATTCACAATATCAGTAACGTTAATAAAGGGATTCTTCGTTTATTAACATTTAGTAACATTAATAAATGGACCCTTATTGTAAAGTGTTACCAGCGCATTTTCCCCCCCGGGAGCTTCAACCGACTTTGATCTCACGTGAGCCCCGTTACTTCCAGCTGGACTCGTTACGGACGTGCTGCTGTTTAACCCTGTTGTGACCGTTAGAAGACGCAGAGGCAGAGGGGACATCAGCCTCACCGTCGTTCTGACGGGGTTATTGTGCGTCCTCGTAGCCAGTCAGCTCAACAACCTGCGGTCTCAGCACACGCGCGGCTCTCCGCAGCAACAGAGAAGCGCATTTTAAGGATGTCCGGGATCACCGGGAATTTGGATTACGATGAATGTAAACATCCTGTTCATGTGGCCAACTGCACGGAGCTGCACTCCAACATGGAGACGGACGACGAACTTCTGAGATACATCTGGTCTGAGTACTTACACCCCAAAGAGTATGAATGGGTCCTAATCGTGGCTTACATCGTCGTGTTCTTCGTCTCACTCATCGGGAACTCGCTCGGTAAGTGGAATCATTCCATTCTCCCACTGTCTCCATTCATGCGTAAAAGCGCAAAATTCGCTCAACTTTCCTTTTCAAATTTGAATTTGACTGCTCAGAAAATCAGCTGCAAAGTCCTCACTGATGTGGAAACAATGTTTAATGCGGTTCGGGTTTTCTTTGATGTGGGACTCAGCGCTGCACCTGCGAGCCTGCAAGGCGCATGAGTCAGTGCGGCAAAAAGAAGAGAACAGGTGTGTTGAAAGATAACTCAGTCCAAATGCAGATTTGCTTTCCTTATCATTATACACATGCGTAATATTAATAAGATTCATGCATCAGTAATAGTAATAATAAAAAAAATATTTTTAAATTAATTTCAGCTCCCACGTCATTCCCTGCTCTTTGTACTTCTGAGAATCTGGGAAAGCCTCTGAATCATGTTCTATTTTCCTGTGAAAGAAGCCATGTTTGTCAAAACATCATGTTAAATATAATTTGTTTTCTTAGACGTTTCTTTCAAATCTGCATGGAAATCCCTTTTCGTCACTCTGCAGTTTGATCCTTTGAGCTTAGACTCCAAAGAGCTTGTTTTTGGTTGTTTATCTCACTTGGGATTTCTCCTTATTTTCCTGATACTTTATTAGACATTTTTCCATCATAAACAACATGGCGCTTTACACAATTTATATGTATGATCTCACAGTGAGACGGAGACTCAGGGTTGTGTTTTTTCTTTCTTTTTCAATAATTGAAGCTGTAACACGCTTGCAATTGTTTAAATATCGCTGGCTGGTTTTTACTAACATAAAGCTTAAGAATTAAAATAATCTACTCAAGAAAACGTTATTCTGGTAAATCATTTATCACAATTAAATTAGAACAAAAATACATGCACCAAAAAAATTTAAAAAAACTTCTCTTTATGAATAATGTTAAAGTGGCAGTGTGTATTTTCCTGGCACTAGGGGGCAGTACATACATTTCAGGGTAGTTTTACACCATATCGCCCTGATTAAAAAAACATTACGATAAATGTTGTTATGTGTGTAGCAGAAAGCATGCAACCCCAACGTGACTCCTCAGACTTTGATGGTGCTTCAGTTAATTCCACCAAGAGAATGCAATGCTGATGCTAGTTTTCTGGCGCTGTTGTTTCTGGATCTCCTCTGGGTCCTGCACCTGCTGATGACATCATCATATTATGGCAATACCGCTCGGCCAAAATATATTGCATCTCTTTTTCAATTCTGTTCTTTTACTGTAACATGGTAACATAACTTCCGTAGGTCGTACATCCAGCCAATCATCTAGTGTGACGTCATCGACAGGTGCAGGGCCCCAAGCCGAGAAGGAAACGGCGTGTAATATTATGGCGTCCTGCAAAGACACTAGACTTGCTGCTTATGTGCTTTAGACCCGATTTTTATGGTTATATGTTACAAATCCACCAATATTTTTCAGTGACTGGACATAGCATAATTCATTTTGAACATTTTGATGGCTATTTCCAGAATCAGAAGGGTTTTATTGCCACATGTGCAAGACATCTCAACATTAGGAAATTGCTGTTGTAGCGTTGTGGTTTTATGCTCTTTTATGAAAGAGGAACCATGCTACGTATTAATTCGGAATATTAATTTTAATAAATCAATAACCAAATTTTATATTGTTCAGAAGACTCAAAGGTTGTTTTCATCCATAAACTGCCGATAATGTCTGAGTGTCTGTGTTTCAGTTCAATGAGGAAACCAGTTTGAAGGATTAAAAGTTTTAATTCTTCAAATTAAACTAATGATTTTGAAAATTGACAAACAGGAAATAACAATCACATTGGCAACTTTGTGGGACAATCTTTTAACAGTTAATATGCTGTTATTGCTCAAATAGACCTTCTGGTGAATTTATGAAGATTGAGAATGTTATGAGTTGTGAGAGTGATATGAGGTGAGATGAATGCGTGTGTGCATCTGATTTTGCTTCAGGAAGAAACAGGTGTCTGAGTGAAAAGTGATGGTTTGAATAAACTTAGGTTTAGTTGGAAAAGATGCATCAAAACGCTATCTGTCGTGTTTTGCCTCACCGAAAATCGGACCCTCTGTTGGACCCGGGACGTCACCTTAGGATGTTTCATCCAGGGCACCTTGGCTGGCAAAGAAGACAAAGATGCGCTGCGAACCGGTCCAGAGTTGCCCTCGGTACACGTTGATGGTAAAGCGTTTTGTCGACGCGCTTTCTTAAGTTAATTCACTCAGAAATCAAAAGACTCGGTAATGAGTCTGCGTTAGAAGTTGCGATTCAGCTATTCTGCCTGGCTTGGCAGAAACAGCGTGAAAGGCGGGGGGGGGGGGGGGGGGGGGAAGAAACGAGCCAGCCGGCTCTGCCCCCCTTTCGGTTTTCAGGTCCACACTCTTTCGTTGTCCAACACGAACTGCCCATAAGACTGAAACTTACCAAAAACCTTTCTCTTCTCAAAGCAAACGTGCGTCATCAAATGTGTCTGGAGTTTACTGTGAGCAGGTGTGTGTGGATGTGTGTGAATGTTTGTGCTTGAGTGTGAAGGTCAGTAACAAACATTCTCAACATTATTTAAGAATGGATTCATTAAACCATTATAATTACCCCAAAGCATAAGTCATTCATTTGATTAAACACATTTATAATGAGCAAAATGATAATGGTTACTTTAACATTAAAATCAAGAAAAAGAAGTTTAAGCTTTATGTTTTAACTTGGTCTGGGTACAACTCATGTAAACACATCTTCTGGTAGACCGCAGGTGGCTGATGTTATGGTTTCCTCCCAGACTCGCTGGCGTTCAGGTCTTAATCTGTGGGTGAAAGTTCTCAGCGACCCAGCTATGACCCAGCTGCGTCCAACACCACCATTGTGACAGAAAACCCATATTTCCTCACGTTACACTGTGATACTTGGTGCAAAAAGAAAGATAAAATTAAGAGATAAGTAAATGTAGGAAGTAAGAATATAATAATGATGAAATAATAATATAAAGTGGGAATAATTAGAGAAACGACTATTATATACAAGACAGTGTAGGTACTGATCAGAGTGGATCAGTTCAGGTACAAACACCACATAGGGTCATGTGACTGAAACTGAGTGACTGGATTGGGCAGCCCTAGGATTGTCATTCATGAGTCCAACAGCAGAGGGGAAGAAAGTGTTTTTGTGATGTGAGGCTCTGGTTCGAATGGATCTGAGCCTCTTACCCGATGGAAGCTAGTCAAAAAACTGTGTCCAGGGTGACACGGGTCAGCGGTGACCCAACCTGCATGCCTCAGTGTCCTGGAGGTGCACAGGGCTTGTAAGGAGGGGAGCTTGCTTTCAATTACCTTCTCAGCACAGCGTAAAACACGCTGCAGTCTCTTCATGTCCCAGATGGTGGCTTCAGCATACCACACAGTAATTCAAGAGGTGAGGATGGACTCGATGATTGCGGTGTAGAACTGCCTCATCGAATGTACTGGCAGGATAAATTTCTTCAGCTGCCACAGGAAGTATATCCTCTGCTGGGCCTTTTTTATGATGGAAATGATGGCAGGCACCCACTTGAGGTCCTGGGTGATGGTGGTGCCCAGGAAGTGACATGAGTTCACCATCGTGATGGGAGTGTCGGACAGAGATGTGGGGGGAGTGGAGCTGGTGCTTCCTAAAATCCACAACAACCTCCGCTGTCTTCTGGGTATTTAGCACCAGGTTGTTGTGGCTCCACCAGGAGATCAGCCGTTCAACCTCTATTCTGTGGGCAGACTCATCCAATGGCGGTGCTGCAAACTTGATAAGGTTGATGTAGGGAGAAGAGTAGAGGGGAGAGAACACAGCCCTGAGGGGAACTGATGCTGATGGTCCACGGGTCAGAGAAATTCTTCATCAGCCCTTCCAGAGATCAACAGTAAAAATGTGTTTATGTTTATGTTTATGTATTTAGCAGACGCTTTTGTCCAAAGCGACTTACAAGTGATAATCGGCATTTTGCCCTTGAGGCTAACAACAACAACAACAAAATACATATTGTAACTTTAAGAAACAGACATCAACATCTTTCAAAGAGGATAAAACCTCTTTCGAACCACTAGATGTAACTAAAAAGAAAATTTTCCATTACATTAATTTTTACATGCTTCCACACGAGGCTAAATCAGTGGCTGAGATCCCTTCCAAAGATTTATTCATTTGTGACTGAACCCGTGGAAATGTGGGCAACAAAAAACGATCCATTTTACCAATAGCTCTACCTTTCACTAAATGAGGTCAAAGGTTAACATCAATTTCCTGTTTTGGTTTAAGTTTTTACTATCTATATGATAATTTACTGATTATTTTTGTTTTGTATGTTAAATATTATCACATCTACACATTAAATTAAAATTTAATTGTGGAAAAAAAAATCTAACATTTACATGGAGGTGCTATGGGGGTGCAATGACGGATCCAGGGGTAGCTATAGCGCCCCCCTGGCGCTGCCACTGGGCTAACTATTCAGCAGGCTGCATAAAACAAATCAATAGCCTCAAATGAAATGGCCACGAGCAGGTTGTAATTTTGGCAATCAGAAAGTGTCTATCACTTTTAATCAGTTCTCCCCCTAACCATGAATATTTGAAATGAAACCAGTAGACTTTGTTCTTTAAGCTCAAATTGCACCAGTATCATTAAGGACCCATGGTATAGAAAAACCGTTATGAATAAAAGATGTTAGTGAATGAAAAAGAGGATTCGGTTAGTTTCAGTGAAAACTCACTGAACTGAAACAAACATCCTGAAAGTTAATTTTGTGTCAGACAGAAACAAAGTTGGATTAATTACTTGTCTAACAGCAGTGGAGGTGTTTCAACAAATTTCGTCAGGATGGACAGTCGTCTATGGGACTGACAGGTTGTCACTGTAATTGTCTCCCACCAGTTAGTAGGCACAGCCCAAAGCGATTGGGAATAACATGCAGCATTACTTTTAAAATGAACTTTTTTTTTCCTGTCAGTAGGCTGGAGTGGTTCTATCTGTAGAAAACAGCAGCTTATTGACTGCAATGAAATTTGGTCACAGCATCCAGAAGAAAGTCTCTAAACGCATTCATCAAACGTTTAAAAAGGTTTTCAATCATATTTTCTCCAAACACTGATACTTTATCAGACAGCAGTAGCCCAGGAGGTAGAGTGGGTTATTCAGTAATCGGAATGTTGCAGGTTCGATCCTGGCTCTGACCAGAGAATGCTGCTGTTGTGTCCTTGGGCAAGAGACTTAACCTGCCTTGCCTTCAGAACCAGAATCAGAAGGGTTTTACTGTCATATGTGCGAGAATCACAACAGTAGGAAATTGCAGCAGTAAAATAATTGTAACCAAAATTAGAATTAAGAAATAAACACAATGAAATGATAAAAATATAGGGAATCAATAATTAGCGAAGCACCTACAGTAAAGGTACTGGTCAGAGTGGGCCAGTTCAGGCGCAAACACAACACTAGGGTCATGTGACTGAAACAAAGCAGCTGGAGTGGGGAGGTCTTTCATGAGTCCGACCGCAGAGGGAAGAAACTGTTTTTGTGGTGAGAGGTTCTGGCTCCTGACAGATGGGAGTGAGTCAAAGAGACTGTGTCCAGGGTGAGGTGGGTCTGCTTTGATCCCACCTGAGTGCCTCAGTGTCCTGGAGGTGTGCACATCCTGTATGGAGGGGAGTTTGCAGCCAATAACCTTCTCAGCAGAGCTCATGACACGCTGCAGTCTCTTCATGTCCCTGATGGTGGCTCCAGCGTTCCACATGGTGAATGAAGTGGTGAGGATGGACTCAATCATTGCGGTGTGAACTGCTTCATCGACTGTACTGATAGGTTGAATTTCTTCAGCTGCTTCAGAAAGTACATCCTCTGCTAGGCCTTTTTAATGATGGAGGTGATGGTAGGCTCCCACTTGAGGTATTGGTTGATGGTGAAGCCCAGTAAGTGGCATGAGTCCAACATCGTTATGGGGGGAGTGATGCTGTGTGCTTCCTAAAGTCCACAACAACCTCCGCTGTCTTCTGGTTGTTTAGCACCAGGTTGCTGCGGCTGCTCCAGGACAGTTCAACCTCCAGTCTGTAAGTAGACATCCCCATCAGAGATGAGTCCGATGATGGTGGTATAGTCTGTAAACGTAATAAGCTTCACAAACTCGTGGTTTGAGGTACAGCCGTTGGTGTCAAGGGAGAAGAGCAGAAGGTAGAGAACACAGCTCTGAGGGGAACCGGTGATGATGGTTTGCAGGCTCGAGACCTTTACCCCGGCCTCACTTGCTGCTTCCTGTCCATCAGGAAGTCAGTGATCCACCTGCAGATTGGGTCAGGCACGTTCATCTGGGACAGGTTGACTTGGAGGAGGTCTGGCAGGATTGTGTTGAAGGCAGAGCTAAAGTCCACGAACATGATCCTGATGTAGGTACCCGGGGAGTCCAGATGCTGCAGGATAAAGTGTAGAGCGATGTTGATGGCATCTTCTACTGTAGACAAACAGCAGGGGGTCCAGGAGGGGAGGCTGTGAGGGTCTCGATGTGGGGGAAAACCAGCTGCTCAAAAGAAGCATTTGAATCTCCTGCTGACCACAATCAGGTGTGTCCAAGCAGGGAAATGACTAAAACATGTTAATAATGACCGTCAGGGCTGAGAGTTGTCTTTCCCTGCACTAAACCTTGTTGCATAAATGTAAAGAATGATATATGTTTTTACAAAAGTAAATGTATGTGTACATTTAAAGTAACACTCAGTAAGTTACCTGCTTCTCCCCCCTACTGGCTGAAAACAGAATTACCACTGTTATAAACAACCCTGCCGTAGCCTGCTGTTGCTAATGCAAACAATGAGCTAATGCTAACACAAGCCAATACATATTAAATAAGCTACAAAGTAAAAAGATATACACTGTTGGACAAAAAAAAATTAAAAGTCCAGTAGCAACAAAGCCAGGTCACCATTAGTCTATGACTTAGATGCCTCCTTTAAATCACTCAAACAAGTGTTAGCCATACCGACGTTCACTCTGGGTTTAGCTCTTTGCTCACCTCTAAAGACATTACTCTCTTAATTTCTATGTTCCTTTATGAGGCCAAAAAAAGAAGCAAACAATTTCTTCTTGCACTTTTTATTGATGAGCGGCAAACTGAAAAAGCCAACTGCTAGCCTTTAGCGCTACTAACACAGTATGTTATTATACAGCAAGTTTCCACAGGCGCTGACCTGAACACAAGAGTTGTTTGATGCATTCTAGTCTGCAGAGGGCTGCAGAGTGATGTCCCATTTGAAGTTGCGTAAGAACGACTGAAACCAGTTTGAAAGCAGTAGCCGTAACCCATTCACTGTCATTGACGACTAAAGTCGTCATTTTAAATCCAACCGTTCACTACCAATGACGACTAAAGTCGTCATTTACATTTTTTTTACTGTGCAGGCATCGGATCGAGCCCCCGCATCATGAGAACAAACATCTCAGCTCTAAAGCCGATCTTCATCCACATACATCACAGGTCACGTGACCATGAAGCAGAAAATCTATGTGTTAGGAGATCATTTTGGGCCGCTGCTGTCATAAAAGTGAGGCGCAAACCAGAAAAGCTTCTGCCGATCACAAATCAACAACGGATTATGAAAGAACGGATAAAGCTCGAAACGCACGGATTCTTCCTGATGTAAGAGGTGAGTCTCCACTTTGTTTTGGCTGTTTTGGCGTCGACATCGTCCTAGCGCGCAACGTTCGGTGACTCTTAAAAAAGCGATGAGAAACGCTGGCAGCGAAGGGCTTTACTGATCAGGAAACGGCTGGTAGTGAATGGGTTAAGTGTTAAAACATCTTTAGGGTTGCTTTAAGCAGCTAGGTTTAGTGGCACCAGTTGACATAAATTGTTAAAGTAAATTTAACATTTACTTTCTAAGAGTGCAGTCTTGCTTAAATAAGCAAACCCTTCCAGTAAAAAAATTTTTTTGAACCCCTTCAGTTCATCAGTTCATATGATTCACACACACACACACACACACACACACACACACACACACACACACACACACACCCACACACACACACACAACCCAGCGTAAATGCCAGCCCTTTAACGTTGGGCTCATAACTTACTTCTTCCCTTCTGTGTGGAAGATTTAGCCTGCACAATTTCCACAAAATCGTTCAGAATTTATGTAACTGGGGTTAATTTATCATTTCACCCTCAGTTCCTGTGAAATGAGTTCAGACACTAAAAGGGCAGTGGCATTATGTGATGTTAGGCGAATCTTTCTTTGCATGGTCAAGTTTTAACTAGTTTTTGTGAATCGATGTTTTAGTTACACAACTATTGAGTTTTGATCATACTTCTGGTTTCCTGGGAAAATTGCTTTCTATTCTCTGAAGTTTTTCAATGACAGGTTATGCTGAAGCATCTAAAAATGTGTAGATGTTAGAAATGCTATTCTTAAACATGTTTTTTTTCTGAATGGTGAATAAATCACTGATTGTAGCACAGTAATTTTTATTAAAAAGAATCACGTCTTCACTTAAGATGAGGTCCCTGCGAGAATTTTACACTCAGAGTGACCTGTTACTGGTTCCTCAGTCCAAATGCAAGACTAGTGGTTATTGTGCTTTTTCAGCTATCGGTCCTCGGCTCTGGAACCAACGTTCATCAGATAAAACAGCCCACATCCCTGCTTATTTTTAAAGCAAGACTGAAGCTTTATTTTAGATCAATTTCCTGGTTTTATTAATGTTTTTAATGTTTCTTCTATGCTCTATGGTCTTATTGCTTTTAATTCCTTAACATTTTTTTTAGTGCTTTATGCTTCCTTTTATCTTGCTGCTTTTATGTTGTTTTATGTGTCCTCGGGACTCCTTGACTCCTCGGGTGGGAAGAGGTTTTATAAATAAACAATTCAAAATTCAGTTTCCTGATGTTGGGCTATACCCAGCATGTGTTGCTGACAATGGTAAAAACAGGATCCACATTCAAACTTTGTATTTTATTAGAAGATGCAGATTTGCTTTGGTTTAAATCAAAGACTTCTGTAAATCCTTAACAATTACTTCCTTAAGGCTGTTATTATTTAAATTTGCAGTATAGTAAACAATTGTCGATAAGAAAAAGATCCCTTGTGGCTCTCATAAACCAGCTGTTTGCTTCTGTAAACCTGCACTGCACCAAACAGCCTTGAGACATAATCATCAACAACCTGGTCAATACTGTTTGTCCTTGGAGGCAAAGCAGTAACCTCAGTTATAAAGGACACACATTTACATCATCAATATATTCACAACACATGAGTCCAGATGAATTCTGCTTAATTTTTCTTTTGAGTTTTGAATCTTGCCAATTATGTTGAAGGCGTACACAAAATCGTTCTTAGGTTCAACCCTTTAGGCCAATGTCCACACTTCCACTCACATCATAAAAGATGTCGGTGTGCCTTTTCGCAAACTCTTAGAATTACGGGATTTCACCCAAACAATTGTCAGAGATCAAGTTAGTCATGGTTTGTGCCATTCCACCAGTTAGTGCAGGGCTATAACTCGCCAAATATCGGTGTGTCTGCAGAGCCAGAACACGCCTCGGTCTCCTCTCCTGTTCACGGTCAGCTCTCTAAAACTAACAATGCTAGGTTTATGAAACTCTCACACCACAAAGTTGACCAGTTGTGCTAAATAAGGATACATGTGTTGTGAATGTTAAACTCAATGAAGTTGGTGAAATCATCACATGAATATCAAATCTGCTATATTTGAACATACGCTCTGAAAAAACAAAAGAAATGATGAATATTTTTAGGTAAAATCTGCTGTTTTTATTTTAGACATTATCTTAATATTCATGGTAACAATAATAATAACAATTATATTGAATATGTTAAGCAGTTTTAAACTAATATTTCTCTGGGAAATGGAAAAGGACAGTTATTGCACCATCCAATCTCACCATCGGTGGTGATGATGAACAGTAGGAAGATGATAATGAGGCATATTGTCAAATATAAAATATTCTAAAATATTCTAATAATCTATGTTTGATCAGAAAAAGTATCTATTGTTCAATAACTGATCAAAAATACATAATCTGTTTTTATTAAAATATATTATATTGATGAATAATTGTGATATATTCTCTATTTTTGAACAGCGGTATGATGTTCTAAAATTAGCCAGATTATTCTAAAGTGTCTTATAATTATCTGCATTTTTCAAAATAATGTTTATTTAACTTGTTCATGTTATTTTATTTTGGGATTTCTTTTACCAGAACAAGGTCAACGTCCATGCATTTTGGGTATGGACGACAATACCACCCTGGAGTTGAACATTAAATCACTTCAATGAGTGCCCTATAAAGGGTTAAAGACAGAAAGACCTCATGCACTCATATATGAAACAAAACAAGATTGTTTCTGGTTTCCGGTTAGAGTGTTGCAGCAAAAAGCCACATTTGATGATTTATTTCATTAAAATTCACTCGAGGTGTTTCAGTCATACATGCCATGTCTATTAATAGTTTACAGTAACTCACGTTTGACTTTAACACAGCAGCGACTCAAGCGAAGCTGCCAACGCAACACCAGAGACACACAGTAGAGTTAGGTGGCTGGCAAAATAAAAAAGCTATCTATAAGCTTTCTGCCGACAGTATTCCAGACATTCTCCAAGTTCCTCTTTCCTCTTTTCCTTTTCTTTTCTCTATCTCCTCTTTCCGTTTGGTGCAGCAGGTCCCCTTTGCAGTTCTCTGCACTGCCTACAGGTGGTGCTTCGTCCAGCTGAGTCACACCTGCTGCTTGACGGCACTCATCACTCACCTGCTGTTTAAGCCTGCCAGAAGCTCCAGTTCCAGATCATTGCAGTTTATGTAATCCATTTGAAGCTTGCTGGACACCCTTGAAGTCATTTCCTCTTCACGACTATTCATTCTGTAGGTGAAAAAGAAAAACCACACCCTGCCATCAGTCTACTTCCACTTATCCCACGTTACACTCGCTGGCCCGCTCTCCACTGCTGCTCTTCTCTATATTCCCTCTGAGATGTCTGGATCATTCCTAAGATATAGACACAAGGACAAATACATCCAGTGATGAACAAAATTTTTATAAAACACTGAAAAAATTTGCACTAAAATTTATTAAAGGTAGATCTCAGTTTGAAGGAGATTTGATCAGTATCGATACGACTTGGAAGGATTTCAGAGAAATGGCATTTTTGGTATTTAGTTGCTAATAATGTAAGTTAAATGAATTGTTTTAATAACACTTTCAGTGATGTAATCAGAATGTTTGGTGGAAGAGTGAAAATGACAAGTAAAAACACACATTTGTAATCAAGAAGTACATTTCTGGATACCTGGAATTTTATGGAACGTTTGTGATCTTCAGCCAAAAGAGCCTGATTTATTTTCTGCCATATGACATAGCAATAATTCTATTTATACGGTTTCCAATTTTAACCAGGAAGATGAAAATGTAAAATTAAATTTCAAGCTACAACTTTGTCATGTGCCGGTTTATGTGTTATTACACCGTTATTACACAGACAGTCTGGCTGTTAACCTTTACAAATGTCATTATAAGTGTCAGCCTTCAGCACGTGCTAAACACGTGCTTTCTGGATTGCTCTGGCTGAAAACAGTGGCATTTATTTAATTGTTGCAGCAATCAATAAAGATCAAGGATGTCTTGAGGCAGACCTTCCTGCACAGCACTGTAAATATAAAGCTTTTGTCCTCTAAAGATTATTTTCAGTTTCTGCTTTTTTGTCAAACTAAAAGTGTATTTTTTACCTTTAATCTCTGGGAATATCCATCGAAATGTGGAAAATTACTAAAATGAAGTCCAGTTGTTGAAAAATATTAGTGGCTTCTTAACATATAACCATAAAAATCAGGTCTAAAGTACAAAGGGCATGGGTCTAGCGTCTTTGGGGGATGCCATATTAGATGCCATGTTTCCATCTGGCCGGCTCGGGGTCCTGCGTCTGTCGATGACGTCACACTAGATGATTGGCTGGACATACGACCTACTGAAGTTATGTTACCATCTTCAAAGTTAGTTAATAACAATACTGCTAAACTCTTTCCAAAATCTATGTGAAAGAACAGAATCGAAATAGAGATGCAAGGAATTTTGGCCGAGTGGTATTGCCATAGTATGATGACGTCATTGGCAGTCGCAGGACCCTGAGCAGATCCAGAAACTACAGTGACAGAAAACTTTGTATTCTCTCGATGGAAGTAACCAAAGGACCATCAAAGTCTGAGGAGTCTTGCAGAGTGCACATGCTTTCACCCCCACAGGAACCAACATTTACCGTAATGTTTTTTTTTAAACTAGCGACAGTCACAGTGATGTGGTGTAAAACCATAGACTGTACATACGTGTAAAACTACCCTGAAATGTGTGTAGTGCCCCCTAGTGCCAGGAAACTACAGACTGCCACTTTAAATGTTTCATATAAGCAAGTAAATTTCAATATCGAATCCAATTTTGTCTCATAAGTCTACTGAATGTTTTCCTCAGGTCTTGGGGATGATCAAAACATTTCTATTTATTTATGTTTTGGAAATGCAAGGCAGGACTTTATTGTTTCATGAGCAAAAGTTTTCATTTTGGAGCCGTCTCATGTTCAGGATGATTCATTTTAATCTCTGTCCAATTTTATGATTATTTTGTCCTCTGCT